ACAGGAAGCACCTCTAGTGACCGCCTGAGTGACTGTCACTAGCAGTGTCACTTTGAAGCAATGTAAACACTGCCTTTTGTCTGAAAAGTCAGTGTTTACGTTGAAAAGCCTGTAGGGACATGCTATAGACACCAGTACCACCACATTAAGCTGTGTGTGTGCGTCTGTTAGTGAGTGAGCTTGCTTGCATGCGTGTGCCTGCTAGTGAGTGAGCTTGTGTTTTTATGTCAGCTGATGTATATCAGTAAGATTGTTTGTCTATGAGGCTGTATATCAATGAGCTTGTGTGTGTCACTGAAATGTCAGTGAAATTGCCTGTGTCTGCATGTGCGTATGCTTACTGTATAATTAAATGTTTTACCCTGAAAGGACCAATATTTTATATTAGAAAAAGCAATATATATATATATATATATATATATATATATATATATATATATATATACATATTACTCAATCATCTGTCCTGGCAAGACATAGCTTTACATATTACACGCGACAATATATGGCGCAGTGACTTATGGGGCTGGCACAAATTTTTTTTCCAGGGCTGCTTTGTATCCCCAGTCCGGCCCTGGTGATTATTGCTCCACTGGCTACAATTATAACAAAGGTATTCATCATGTTATCTTCATGAACTATTTTCTAAACACATGTATTATGGTTTTCCACTAGCTGTAAGTGGGCTTATTTACACAAAACTGATTAACTAATACCAAAGTCTTGATTTTGGATTTTTACATTGTAGATTAGTTGGTTTGTGCTGGAATAAAATAAATTTAAGTCACCTGTCAATAACCCTTGTCTGTCTAAAGTTGATATATGGATCTCAAAATTCTCCCTTTCATTACCTCTGGTAACTGAGAACAATCTTAACTACTATCACTTTCCAGGTCATTCTCCCCCCTTGAAAATCCAGAGATAACTGCGACTCATCTTTCAGTGATTGTATCAATGGTCTTTGCACTAAAAATACTTTAGTCTGAGTAAGACACAGAAGCCCATTCATGGGAAGCATGCTACAAGGACCACTCTTACTATGAATATCATTTGTAAAAATACATCCTAACTGATTTGAATCTGACTCAGTAAATTGCGTACATGAGAAAGGTCTTATTTTAGACACTTCTAACCAGAACAGTGGTGACTTGAGAAGTACACCTTTCCTATGATGTGATTTGGCCTTCTACTTTACCATCAAGATGGGAATACCGCCCAAGAGCCTGTCCTTCTAGAACTACCCAACTGCTAATTAAAAGTTTCTCTTTAAGAGAGAGCTGTAGCAGAGAGGTTAAAAGTTGGTTTATGACAAATATTAGAAGTATGAAGTAACACACGTTTAATAGTCATGTCGGGTGAGATGTCAAACTGAGCTAACATGAGACAACTTTTTGCTGAATGGCTGTTATCAAGGAAAATAAATGTATCATCAAGAAGTTTAATGGGAAAAGAAAATGTAAAAAAAAACATAGCTAATTTCAAGGATACCTGTAATGCCACATTCCACTTGCCAGAATTGAATTCACCATCAGATTTCAGCTATACATTGTGCTAGCGAAATTTCTACCAAATGAAGAGAATGTGTCAGAAAAGTCCACAAAAACCATGGTCTCCATCCCAGCAGACAGATTATCAGCATAGACTCTTTGTCGATGTCTGTCTGCAAGAGAACACGCTCCTACAAGGTTCTCAGGCTGTCCTCTCAGGCCCTACTTCAAAGAGTTCCAGTGTGCAACTTCTCAAACACAGACATCCCAGAGAAGAGAATTTTCACACATGAAGGTGAGTTAATGGTGGCACTGGAACCATTAGGAAGGTGAGTATATATAAACCTAATAAGTTCCATATAAAAACATAATTTTCACCAAATGCACAATTTAAAACTTCTTTAGCAATCTTTATCAGTCTCTAGAATGTTAATGTCATGCTAACAGGGACATTTGAAACTCCTTCCCAATCTCTAACTGTAGTTATGATATGTCCTACTGAAACATTCTTTACTGTTTGGAAACTGGGGTTGAGCACACATTTTCAACATACTTGTAGGCATTAAAACAATAAAAAGTGGCTTCTGGCAGATAAATTAGTTCCTTTACAGACTGATAATTACCCCTAAAACAAAGGCATAACTAGAAACCACAGGGCCCCAACACATGGAGGCTGGCACCACGCTCACAGGGGTCCGCAGGGCGGCTGGGCCCCCTGGAGTGGTGGAATGCTGCAACCCCTGTGACCGCGATAGTACCACAAATGCCCTAGAGTATAAATTAGGGTGAGTGAGGCTTTATGGACTACATATTCTGCAAATTACATGAAAGTAATACCATTTGTTCTTGATACTGGCAGTGAAGTGGTTACTGCTTCCAGTGGGACTCTTTAACTTTATACTTTATGTTAGAATATAATTATCATGCAAGTTGAAATCCCCATCTTAAACAAACAACCCTGTTCAATTTCAGGAGTAGATTACAAGCCTGTGATTCTTGACTACCTTATACAGTAGACATGTGCAATTAATTTCGGTCCGAATGTGAATTCGGACAAATTTCGGGCAATTCAGACATTTGGATGCTTCTGAATGTCCGAATTTCTGTAGTACCGAAGTGCTTTAGATTTCTGAAGAGTGGCAAAACAAGAGAGGGAGGGAAAATTACGTGAATGATGACAGGGGTAGAGTTAGGGTGTCATGCTCTCGATCACGATTGCCAGGGTTAACTGAAGTGGCTTTATTTACTGGTTTTGGCATTACAGCAACTTGTAGTAGATAATAAGGATAAGGAAAGGGAGAAATAAACTTTTAGGAAATATGCCCTGTATAGAAAACAACCAAGAGTTCAAAATAATAAAGCTGGAGAAAGTATAGTAAGAATAACAAGACAGAAATTAGTAACTAAAAAGAGTCAGGAATGAAAGGAATACCTTAGATAGCAATATGTTCAGCAATGTCCAGATAGTGGGTATTGCAGGGTTGTGTTAATCCAGGTAGGCAGGTTAATGCAATAGTAAGACAATTAGTAAGGAGTAATGTTTGTAGCAATTCTGGCAGGTTGCAATACAGGTAACTACAGGAGAGATGATAATC